GCCTGACACAAGCGGCCGGTTGTCTGTGGGTGTTGCTTTGTTTGTTTTGTTTTGTTGTTTTTTTTGTATGTACGAAAAGAGAGAGATACCAGTGATTCCTGTCCAGTCTTTGTTGTGTTTTGAACTTTTGTGTCGCAGGTGGTAGAAGAGCCGCTAGTCAGAAAGAGTGTCTGTGACAGTTAATGTCCGCGGCGTGTCAAGGCCCTTGTTGGGCTGATGGTTCTGTATTGATAGCAGAGCGGTAGAACCATCAAAGGCTGTGAAGTTAAGGGACATTGTCAGAATATCAAATCTTTTCTCCAAATTGCAGTCAGAAAGAAACTTATAGAAAAATATATAAAGGGATCTCTCAGGTTGATGTTAAATGGTTACTGAACGCTGTGGAGTGTGGTGGTTGACACGAGAGAGCCGGGGATCGTGACCGAGGACAGATCTGCCAGGACCTTCACCTCCACAGTCTGAGAGAACGGACCATTCCGCCATGTTGTTGGAGGCAGAAACTTTCACACAAAGTAAATCTGACCAGGCTTCAATTTCTCCAGCAGGGCCATGGTGATGGTTCCTGTTGGTGAGATTTAACTGGTGTTTAACTGCACATTTTGAATATATTGTTGAAAAAGGGGGATTTTGCTTTTTAAACTATTTACTTGTGATTATTGCTACAGACAACAGTTGGGTGTTAACTTCATTTCATGGTTATACTGAAAGGAATAGTTCAACAATTTGAAACGTGTTTATTTGCTTTCTTGACCAGAGAAAGATAAGAATATTGATGCCACTCACACACAGTGGGGGAAGAAGTACTCAGATCCTCCTTACTAATATCACACTGTGACATATTCAGCACTGTGACGATGCTTTTTCCATTTGAAGCAAGATAACAGTTTTTGTTTTATATTTAAATGAAAAATTAGAAGAAAATTCGTTTTTTTCTGGAAAGTAAAGTTATGAAAATGTGTAATCTGAAAAGTACCTTAAGCTATCAGACAAAGGTAACTGACAAATTGCAGAAAGTAAGGAGCACATTTACATTTCCCAAAATGTGTAACTATTCCTTTAATGTCTAAATGTAGTTAAAACGTTTTTTTGAAAAGAATATTGATTATTTGTTACTCCAATATGTTACTATCAAGATACGTGCAGATGCCTGTTTCAGTGAGTGGGGAACAACAGGACTTTGTGCTGCAAAGAAAGACAAACACAAAAACAATCCTGATGGCTGTGAGGTGCTATGTGAGAGAAGAGCAGGGGGTCAGGGCCATACACATTCCCTTATCCAGCACGACCAGGGTCCCATCAGAGGCCGCGGGTGGGGGTTCAGTTTGAGGTGATGGGGGGGCTTGGCTGAGCTGAAGGCTTTGTGAACGGCTTCACTTTTGACCCCTTCACTAGAGGCAAAGGGAATTGTGTGTGTGTCTTTTTTTTTGTTTCCTGAGGTCATCTGCCTTGAGACACCTAAACTGCCTCACACATCAGACACACCGACATCTTTATGGTGCCTGTGACTGAGTGGATTGGTTGAGTTCTCACTTTGCTTTTTGGTTGGTGCAAACATGGGGAATGTATCGTTCCATTTTGTTAGTTTTTTTGTGTGAAACTTTTCACATTAACTTTATTTTCTTAATCTTATAAAACATGCATTCCTATTTCTATTAATTTAATACATTTATTCTTGACTCAATTTCGACTGATTTCTCAACAAACTGTACGTAACTGAAAAAGTGTCAATAAGAAGGTAAAATCAAAGTCTGTTAGTAGATCACATTAACCTACAAAACCGGCCTTTTATCAGTTAAGAGAAAAGCATTGAGGCCTAACCTGTCCTGGCAAAGACCTGGAGGATAGAAATGAGTTACTGATTTCCACATGGATCATTGTTGCGGGACAGGAGGAGTCTTGGTGGTTCCCCCCTTCCCCTGCAACATGTATGACCTCTTCTCTCAACATCTATCACCACACTCATCCGTTAACCTTCTCTCTGCAGCACTTTTCCATTCCCCAGCTAAACCAGGCGTTTCTGGAGGCGTATGAGGATGGTGTAATGTGTCCCAGCTACATTGGGTTCATCTGGAATTTCCATGAAACCAGCGCTGTGTCCTCTTCTAATCAGAAGTCACTTTCACGTGGAAGGAGGCAGAGTTGGAGCTGTGTGTGTGTAAGGACAAGGTCAAATAACAACACCATGCAGCAGCAGCAGTTAACAAACCCTAGCTATAATAATTAGGTTTGAAATGTTTGATCATTTGTGTGCTCAACCGTCAGGTAAAGTGCTCTGATAGACCACAGGGCTCCAGGGGCTGGACCAGCTGTCAATTGTGGGAGGCGGATGGCAAATTCNGTAGCTACCGATTTCCAACGAGAGACAATGTATAACAGTGTAACGGCTGTGTGTCGCTAAACGTTGCTATGGAAACCACACGATGTAGGCTCGTGGAAGTAGTTTCGGTAGGCTAGTGGCGTGTGTAGGCCACTGGATAATTTGTGATTAGGCACGTTCTATTTGATCGTTGTTTGATCGTGGAATCAAACACGCCTATTGACCAATCAGAGAGCTTGCTCAAACCTATGTGTTATAGAATCCTGCTTCTAATCCTTGTGCTAACCTAAGCTTGTCTACCAGACACAGGAGTGGTGTTGATCGTTTCCTCTAACTCTCTAGGATGTGCTCTGCTCAGTAGTTTTTGTACTTCACTGCAGTTTGACTTTTTGCAAGTGTACGACTGCCTTCACACCCTCACACATTCTCGCACACATTCTCACACTCACACACACTCAGGCCCCTGGAGAGAAAGTGCATCCTGAGAGCTGTTCTTTGCTTCATGGTGACAGCAGCCATTGTCGACAGCTTCCATGAACTTCAGGTCAGGCAGACTTTCCTCCACCACATCGCCTGACTCTTTTGCGCTGCAGCCCGAGCCTCCGCTGTCCTCCGAGTCTCCGCTGTCCTCCACGGACAGAGACGGGCGGCTGCTGCTAGCCCCAGACGAGAGGTTGGTCATCTCCGTCTCGTCATGAGAGTAACGGCCCGAGTCGCCGGTTGCGTGGCTGCCCTCGCTGCTGGAGGAGCCCTCTGAGTCCCCGGGCGACCAGCGCATTGCCTGCATGGCGTCGGGCTGATCTGGAGACAGGTTCAGCTCCTCTTCATAGGTCAGCACGGTGGAGCCGGGCTGGTAGGAGGCGGGTCTCACACTCTGCAGCACAGAGGAAGGGATGATTAGTCTGAGTGTCTGAGTGTTTATGGCTCTGTTGTAGAACTGCAACAATAGGTTTACTACGTCTATAAATCGATTAAAACAAAAATAATTGGAAATAATTTAGTCTATAGATTCATCTTAAAGTAGTCTTTCATGCAAAAATGGCATGAAATGCTGCTTTCAGCCTCTCAAATCTGGAGAGTTACTGCTTTCTCTGTTTTATGCCATATTTAATAGAACGTCTTTGGTTTTTGGACTGACCAAACAAGACGTTTGAAAACTTGACCTTGGAATTTTCGAAAGTGAATGGACATTTTTCACTATTTTAAACCTAACAATGAATCCAGACATGAATCTGGAGATTTATCAATAATAAAACATCATTTGTTACAGCCCTAGTCAAATGGGAAGTAAAAAGGTCTTATATCTAAGTCCCAGGCCGACTGTTACCCAAACAAAGACAAACAAGCAAATAGTAGTGTTTAGGTTTAAGCTGAGGTTTGGGTCTGATTTATTTTTTAACCATATGCAAATTGTAATTTACAAAGCAATGAATTGTTCGTATCGATTTTGCTACAAGTTGCTGACAATTAACCAAGCAAGAGTCCTCTTTTCAAATCTTACCTGCAGTACTGTACTGACCTTTTTGGCATTACTGCTGAAGGAAAACCATTTCTCTTTCTTCTCAGTGCTTGGCTGAACAGGGCCGAGAGAATTGATAATGAGATTTGTTCCACCCTAAAAGTGAAAAATATATAAGTAAACTTGGTAAATATAGTAAGTTTGAAAAAGCACAAGCCATATCCAGTACTTTACTGTAAAATGAATATGATCAAGTGATACTCTTGCAACTATATTTTATATCATCAGGTAGTATAATTAATAATATCCTTACAAACATTGTAATGTTTCCAAAAGATGTGTTAATATTTCCACTGCTTCCACTCAACTGCTCTAGGCCCCCAAAAAATACTAAATCCAGAGCTTTTCCAGTCTTTCAGTGAGCGTGTGTGTCTGAGTGTGAAGTACCTTGGCATCGATGAAGTGGTTTGGACTCAGCATCGGCACGCTGACATCAGCGCTCTCTGTTTGTCCCTCAGAGCCCAGCTGTCCTGCAGCTGGGGCAGATGTGCCCGCTCCTTCTCTGTACGCTTTAAATGCTGAGAATTTCCTGGAGGAAGAAAACATGATGTCAGTACAAACAGAGAATACACTGGGCATCTGCTGTTTAACAATATGTGTTCGGACAGTCTAAGTACCTTTTTTTGCCTCTGCAGACGATGATGAAGGCACAGATGATGATGCAGATGAGAGCGATGCAGACTCCCACAGTGATTCCTGTCATTGACTTTTGGTCCAGGTGGTAGAAACCATCAGAAAAGGCTGTGAAAGTTAAAGGGAACATTGTCAGAATATCAATCCTTTTCCAAATTGCAGTCAGAAAGAAACTTATAGAAAATATATAAAGGGATTCTCTCAGGTTGATGTTAATGGTACTGACCTGTGGAGTGTGTGTTGCCACGAGAGAGCCGGGGATCGTGACCCGAGGACAGATCTGCCAGGACCTTCACCTCCACAGTCTGAGAGAACGGACCATCGCCCATGTTGTTGGAGGCAGAAACTTTCACAAAGTAAATCTGACCAGGCTTCAATTTCTCCAGCAGGGCCATGGTGATGGTTCCTGTTGGTGAGATTTAACTGGTGTTTAACTGCACATTTTGACCCCTTCACTAGAGGCAAAGGGAATTGTGTGTGTGTCTTTTTTTTTGTTTCCTGAGGTCATCTGCCTTGAGACACCTAAACTGCCTCACACATCAGACACACCGACATCTTTATGGTGCCTGTGACTGAGTGGATTGGTTGAGTTCTCACTTTGCTTTTTGGTTGGTGCAAACATGGGGAATGTATCGTTTCATTTTGTATTTGGTTAGGTTTTTTTGTGTGAAACTTTTCACATTAACTTTATTTTCTTAATCTTATAAAACATGCATCCTATTTCTATTAATTTAATACATTTATGTTTGACTCAATTTCGACTGATTTCACAAACTGTACTGTAACTGAAAAGTGTCAATAAGAAGGTAAATCAAAGTCTTTGTAGTAATCACATTAAACCTACAAACCGGTCTTTTATCAGTAAGACAAAAGCATTGAGCCTAACCTGTCCTGGCAAAGACTGGAGGATAAAATGAGTTACTGATTTCCAATGGATCATTTGTGCGGGACAGGAGGAAGTCTTTGTGGTCCCCCCCTTCCCCTGCAAACATGTATAACCTCTTTCTCTCAACATCTATCACCACACTCATCCTTACCTTCTCTCTGCAGCACTTTCCATTCCCCAGCTAACCAGGCGTTTCTGGAGGCGTAGAGGATGGTGTAATGTGTCACAGCTACATTGGGTTCATCTGGATTTTTCCATGAAACCAGCGCTGTGTCCTCTTCTATCAGAGTCACTTTCACGTTGGAAGGAGGCAGAGTTGGAGCTGTGTGTGTGTAAGGAGCAAGGTCAAATAACAACACCATGCAGCAGCAGCAGTAACAAACTCCTAGCTATAATAAATAGGTTTGAAATGTTTGATCATTTTGTGCTCACCGTCAGGTAAAGTGCTCTGATAGACCACAGGGCTCCAGGGGCTGGACAGCTGGTCAATGTGGAGGCGGATGGCAAATTCATACTTGGTGTTGGGCTCCAGATCTCTCACCAGGAGGTTCTGCACATTCCTGTAGGAAAAAGAAAATCAGAGACTTTTAACTCTTAACACTAATGATCTATTATTACTTTATAAACATTTTAACTGTTTAAATGTGAGTTTAAATGACACTGTTAAACAATTATTACTTTCTGTTTACTAAAAACCCCGGTGGAAACCAGAAATATAGCATGTATCATAGGAAACCCTAACATCTTCAAGCCACTTCTCTAAAATGTAAAACCTGATATGATATAATGCACAATGTTGTGTTGTTATAGCCATTGGATCAAGCATTGTGGATTTAGTGGGTTTCATTGGTGACACTTAAGTCCTACTGGGTCTACGGGGCTGTACTATGATGACACCATAAACAAATAATAACACAACAAATGATGACTTTCCCAGCTATGTGTATTTTATTATATAGTAAGTCACGATGATCTACATAATTATCTAATCAGTTTTGACTTTTGAAATAGTCTGATAATAAAAAGTCTTGTCCAGCAGATGGTGGTATGGAGCTGCGCTGACTGTGGGAAAAGACACCACTGAGAGTTTAAAGTGACCAAAACACTCTCCCCAACAAGTGGGAAAAAAAGTATTTATGTTGTTAAGTTTTAAGTGTTTCTGATATGGCACAGCTGAGGTTGTGGTAGGACAACTTATTGACAATAAGGTGTTAAGATAAGAGCAGAACTGCAGCGTGAGACTAAGTCATCTCATCATACATTAAGATAGACCAAACACACAGTAACATCTGTTTTAAATCAGTATTCACTATCAATAAAACGCTCTAAACAGAGAGCATTGTCCCTTCGAATGTGCTTGTCCCAAACTGTACTAATTATTTAAAAGTTGACACATTTATCATCAACACAATGATAAAAAAGCTGCCTGTGTTGTTAGTAGAATTCTTACGTCTGCAGGTAGAGCACCAGCGAGGCGTTCTGCAGGCCTACTGGGTTGCAGCGCACGGTGTAGTTGATGGTTTGGCTGGAGGTGAAGGCTGGTCGACCCCAGCGCAGAAACACCGAGCTGGAGCTGTTGCTCTTGATGTAGACGTTGTGTGGAGGAGGTGGAGGAGGCACCAGGCGATCTCTGACAGCTACGAGACACATTGAGGGTAAAGTTATTTACTGTTGCAATACAAGAGACACCAACATGCTTCTATAGCGGTGAACAAAGGCCATTGTAGGTACAAAATAAATAAATTAAATAGAGTGGGGAGGGGGCAAGTATTCAGGAAATGTCCAACATTTCAGTTGTTATTTATTATCTGAGATACATTTTGAGGAAGATTCAGTTTTTATCTCTTGCAAATGTATGCCATTAAAGTCTGAGACATAACCTCATTTTTGTCTTTTGTTTCTTATGGTTTAAACACTTCAACCGTAGAGAATAATATTTAAGTTTTACTCTCATATTATATATGACTTATATCTTAGGAATAAGAATAAGAATATTACCACCCATCCCTCCGTATGTAAAAAGAAAATGACAGTACAACGGTCCTTATATGCAATCTAATGTTATTGTCACACTTTTGCAACTTACAGACACATCCAGTGGTGCTGACAGTCTGGTCAGCCTGGTAGCCTTCTCCGACAAAATTATAAGCCAGAAGCTTCACATGGTACTTCTTCCTTGGGTCTATATTTGGAAAAAGAAAGAAACAAAAATGTCTTTAATAATCATAACAACCACAGAGAATGTAAAGTTTAGCTGTAAAATACATCAGTAAATATGCAGTCTTAGATCTGGACTTCAGGAAACATCTACAGAGAAGTATTCTCAACAACACTTCATTTTTCACCATGGACCACAACAGATGACAACGTGATTCGTCCAGCTAACAGGAAGCAGGGTGATACATGAAAGAGGCCTGGGCCGTGTGGGTGTGGGGCCAGTGAGGGTTTCTGGTCTAATGGTGTGGTGGGAACCAGAGGTGAGGGCATTGTGACAGATGCTCTGTGACGTGAGTCCTTTGGTCAGTTTCTGCAGTGCTCAGGGCAGCAGAACAGAGGAGCTCCACTATCCATCACCCTGTCACCCCCAAGTCTTTTGATAACATCAGAAAAGCCCCTTCTTTGCCCCAGTCAGGCCTGCTGGTCAGTGGTCAGTGGCCACTCCTATTCAGGTCCAGAATCTGGGGGTCACATCGACGGACAAAATCCCATGGGAAGGGCTTTGCTGACGGTCAACAATAGTTTCAGGCCTCGGTGACCCTGAAGAGCCTCGATGAACAAAAGCCATCTGACCAAATGTCCCTCTTACCCCTAAAAGAATAATTAGCAGGGTCTAATTTCAATTTTTGCATGTGATATTGATTTTGTGAGCCATATATGTAAAATAAAAGCACAGTGAACCCCTGCCTCTTTAATGAATGTTTCTCAAATGTTTGGTCACAGTTTGTTTGGAAGATGTGTATGTGTGAAAAAAGAAAATGCTATTTATGCTCAAAAAATAAATGTAGAGCATTTTCTGACCTGAGGACTTCGATGTTTGTTAGGAAGTTTTAAATAGGTAACAGTGGGACCACCTGGCATTCTCGTCATTGTGATTTTTTATGTATGTTTTTGTTCAGAAGAAGTTCAAATTACTTTAATGTTGTGTTCTTAGTTGTCTCTGTGTTTTAACTTAAGCCCCTAAATAGATATTAACTCCAATATGACCATGAGCATTTTGCTGGCAATGATCTGGCTTCTATTACTTTTATAAAAGTTTGTCCTATCACTAAAACAAACTTCTATTTCTTTATAAAACATTTAGAGGCTCTTGAGAAGAGTCCCACAAGACCACAGGAGATGAATGTGTGTCCATGGAGGTAAGAGAAGTTTAGGAGGGGTGGAGTGGTGCACCCCCATGCTGCCCTGAGGAGCTTCACTAGAGCCAGACCAGGGCCAGCAGGTCAGGCCGAGATTAAACTCTGAAAGAATCTGAGGTCACGGGTGTGCAATATGAGAAGAGCCTCCTTTTTTTCTCCCTCCTGAAAACTATTTAGCTATATTCAATGACAATTAGGAGTCAAATGTAAATATGAACACTTAAATCAACAATCATGAAATCCATATTGAATTTCCGGAAGAGTTACATAATACCAAGACTGGTTTGAAATGAACATCTTTTCTGTTGATTACTTTTTTTTCTCATTGCAAGAGATAAACAAAACCAGGAGGCTTTTTGTCCACCTTGTTATCCTGTGTTTTCCGCCCTGTTTGTGATGCCTCAGTGTCCACCACCTCTAAAGAGAAGCATGCACACAGTATGCACCTCTACCCAGCCCCACAGTACAATGGGCCTGCCGTAATTATGCGAGAGAGTAGCTCTGCGAGGGGGGAAGCTGACATCTGGGCCACGACCTTTGACATGGAATCTGGGCAAGCTAAATCCTGCAAAAGGAGGGGGGACAGGGCTCTCTCTGAGGGGGGAGGGTCAAGCAGAGGAAGTGAGTGGAAAAACAGGGAAACACCTAGAGTCAAAATAAAATGCCACTTGATAGGTGATGACACTGAGTCCTGATAAGAGAAAACTCAGAGGACAGGTTTGACGTTCACTCGCAATGGACCTGACACCTGAAGCTCTTAACATAAACGTTATGTGAATACCCTCTCTACCACAGATAGCTAAATAGTTGTCATTAATAATCAAACATACCGTGCTTTTCTGAAAAAATCCTGATATTAAGGCAGCAACTAACGCTTATTTGGCAAATAATTTTTTTCAAATGTCTAAAGTTCACCACTAATTATTTCATTCAAATATTTTTGAATGTTCCAAACTAAATAACATTTAGTTTACACAGTCATAAAACGCAGAAAAGAAGAAAACTATCACATTTTGAAACATGACGATAGCCATGTTTGGCATTATTGCTGGATAAAAAGAAACTAAAATGACAACTTCACAATCAAAATAAAACTAAATTTCATTTCATCTTCTTATTGTTTCTACCTCTCTACTTTGTAAAGCAGTGAATCCGTATTACAAAATATAATTGTGGCTGCGTTACCTCACATTTTATTCTTAGAGTGCGGCGTTCTGCTCGAGTTGCCATTCCTTGAGAGAAGAAATGTTTCCGACCTTCCCACTGGGATACATCTCACATGGCCTCACTCCCATAAATTATGCTGTTTGTATTAAAGGGCATATTTTAGCCATTTGTGGTCACCCCCCTTTTTTTACAGCCAAAATGCAGATCCTGTTGGCCCCTGAGGTTTTTGTTCTGCCCTGCGAAAGGCCCCCCAGGCCAGGCCTGAACAGGGGCCATAAATGTCAACTCCTGCATGAACCCTCACACCAGCATCTATCATCTCCCTCTCTGTCCTCCCCTTCTCTCTTGTGCCCTTACTCACACAAATCAACTACTGACACGCACAAGTTAAGCACAAAATGACCTTTTAAAATGATGGTCAGCATAGAAATCTAGTTATCACACGAAGCACGCTTTGCCTTGTGTCTAATAAAAGGAATGGACAAGAAGATGGCCTGCAGCTAAGAGATAAATCTACAGTTGTGCACACAGCGCGGCCTGGTGCCAACAGGTATGAGAGGTATTTAAGCCTCGACTACAAGCCGTCTAGATATTCTTCTCTTGAGCCAAGCAGAGGCTACACACGCGAGGAAAGGTCACATCACCATGTCATTTATACCCAACTGGAGCCTCTCAAACACATTCCTGTCTCTCAGGGTGTGCTTTCAATCATCTGCATTGGTCATAAGTGATAATTTACAGCCAGCTCGAAGCATGTTCTTCTGCGGCTGAACACACAGCTCCGTCTGCAGCATCCACCGCTGACAGCTCGGAAATCAATGTTATTGGAAAAAGAAGGCATGTCCACTGCTGGAATATAGGAAATGTCATTTACAGTACAAGCAGATTTAATTCGCAAAGCAATCACTTGCTGAGAAAGCTCTACGGTCAGCATTTTTGTTGTCTCAAGGACACAACATATGGACTCTTTTTTTGAGCATATGTAGCTTCAAATCTTAATTCCTGGTCATTAATGTAGTTTCCCTTCAAACCAAAGCCCTCTTTACATCCTGGTCAGGTGTTACTTTGTGATTAAATATCTACATTTCTAGATGATCAGAGACAATAACATTATGCATTCATTTTTAAGTAGTACAATTATTGTTGAAGTATTATGTTTAAAACTTGTGATACTAAAGATCTAGGGGTGCACCAACTCATCACCTGACTACCTTTAAGACTATATAACATTTGATGACAAGAAATGACATACTCTACCTCTTGTACATGAGAAGTGAAACTCATAAGTAATCAAATGTACCCTGGCTTAAATGCTTACACTCACTACATTTGCATTATTCCTAACACAGTGGTTTTGCTTCTACAGCCTTAACTTTGTCTTGTAGGACCAGCAGCTTAGGGTGGCTAATGTTCGTGAATGTTAACACACTTTAGAAACAGTAAATGTTGCTTTAAAACTTAAATGACTGAGTATTCTCTATTTGTGCTACTGTCAGAGTAGCGTGGACTTATATATGCATCTTCTTGTATGTCATTAGTTTATTAAATTGCTTAAATATTTTTGATCAATTTAAAAACAGCCTATTGCATATATTATGCTGCAGCTTGGAACAATATTAAACATATGAAAAAGTGATGTCTTTAAGAAGGAAGAAGTCATTTGTAAAAGTGTTCAAGCCATTTAGTCGGGTTCCTCACAGCTCTGCGGGGTTTTCTGATGAAGGATGTGTTGCCACACAGGAGGTCACATGCTTGTGCACAGTTCTACAACTAATTCATGAGAAAGAAATCTCAGAGCTGCAAGATAGTGAGCTCACAAGACGTGCTCATTGTTAGGCCTACAGCTCGATCAGTGAGAGGCTGCATTTCCTTTAGGTCTTAGCTAATAAACTGTCTTTGTGGTTCTCAAAGCCAAACACAATGAGAGTCTTTGATGTCAATGCTCCTCCAGCAACGCAGCTCAAAGCAGTCATAAAACACATAATAAATCTGCCTCCACTAAACAGCTTTCCTCTCTTCAACACAGCAGCCCTGCAAAGCTCCTTTATGGAAGAGGAACAAAAAGATGATTCTTTTTATTCAGCTGAAGCTCTATTTTTGGTATTGCTCATTTATTTTTGGCTTTATATTTATCAGCAGCTTCATCTTCCTCCAAGCACTTTGAAACATTCAGAGCAGTAGGATGATAAAGAGTAGGGGAACTTTTAAGAGCGGCAGATCTTTCCGAATATACACGTCAATAAAACAGTTATGACAATAATATAAAATATAATTACATTTAATAAGCAAAACACAAATTAAACAGTCCGTTTTTTCTTTCTGAAAATGATCCATTATCAAACCTGCATCCCAGGTGTTTATATTTAGCTAAGTAAGTTAAGTAGTTATTCTGATTGTATCAGTATTAGTGTTCATTATTCATTAAAGTCCTTATCCTTAGTAGAAGCAACAGGAGTAGAGGTTCATTGTGGATGTATTTATCATTTTGGTGTTTAACCCATAACATGAAATATCTAATTAACTAAATGCCTGCAGCGGTTAGAGTTAACACCCAAAGTCATTTTTAGTGCCTATTCATCTTTCTTTCTTTCTGATCCCGTTCTAGCACAAGCTTACTGATTTACAATTCAGCTGCTGACCACCTGGTTGACCCCTCGCCACAGATGGTCAGTTGTCCAATGCGTTGGCCTGAGCCCCCTCTCCTCTCTCAAACAAAAAAAATCCAAAATGAATCTGACCTAAAAGCCAAAAGAGCTGTGATATGTCCAGAACACCATCCAGCAGCTGCTGAATAGGCACACACATTAAAGTCCGGCCCAGAGGTTGGGAGGTCATGGAAGTGGGACGTGATGCCGTTCTGTTTCACGGATCTCCTCTACAACCAACTAATCACTTATATGCTTAGCCGTCATCAATAGATGCCACTGCTGCTTGTTGAACCACCCAAAACTATTTAACCTGCTTAAACAATTTCAAATGACCGTTAAGATATTTTTAATTAAAAAGTGTTGCTAATAAATGTACAATTATAAATATGTGGCTGCACGCTCATATTCTTTCAAATTATTTCACATGGCCTCACATGTTCTAAGATGTAAAGAGGATTACTTTAGCTCCCTAATGAGCAACTATAATGTAGAACTACCTTGACTTATCCCCAAATATTTTGATAATAGATTAATGGTTGAACAGTTTTTTTTAAGTACTTTTTTTTGTCTCCCTATTAGGGAGATATATTCCCTTCTTTTCTCTGTTTTACATAATTTTAAGTGTAATATATTTGGCTTTTGGAGTGACAAAACAACAACATTTAAAGACATTATGGTGGACACTATTCAGGTATTTCTAAACTAATTGGTGGCTTGATTGGAAATGAAAAGCATTGTGAGTTTCAGCATGGATACCAGATACCACAGTGGCAGAAGGTAACTCAAATGATCTGAACCAAAAACTCACCGAGGCCTCCGATGGTGTAAGTATTATCCAAGGCGCGAAGCTGAAGCGGCGCCCTCTCTGACTGGCTCTCTTCGTGGTAGAAGAGCTTGTAGCCTTGAACACTAGCTGAGTTCCTGGGAGACAGCTGCCAGCGCGCCAAGATAGTGGTGCAGTTTAAAGGCTCTAAATGCAGCTCAGGAGCCATGGGAACTAAAGACAAGATAAAGAAAAAACATTTAGATATTGTGTGATGGATAACAGTCCTACAAAGAAAAACAAGAAACAGTCATTGATCCAGAAACAGATGTGATTCATAAACATCGTTCTGATAGGTGCATCTTATCGCTGAAGCTTTTCAGAAAACAGGAACTTGTACAACTGGAATCTCTTCACAGAGTTGTTTCCAGTGTTTTTGTGAGGCACATGGGAGTTTTCTTTGAAAAGTGGAACTACCATCTGATGCTTTACCAAGTGTTTCACACTCAAAGCAGACTTGAGTCAACCCACCGAGCTGTCAGGGGAGTCATTTCACACCTTTTTATTTTAGGAATGAGGGGAATGGAGTTTACCAATAGAAGTCTTTGGGACTTGAAACAGAGAGAGAAAGAGAAGGGCAGGAAAAACAAATCCTCCCGTCCCCCACCTCAAAGCTTCAGATGTGGCTCTAACAACCATACACTGTGTCCCACCCAGAGACCTGAGTCGCTCCTTTTATGACCCATGACTGAAACCCCTCCAATGCTACTGACAGTGCAGGGCAAAGGTCACAGAGTAACAAACGCAAGGCCTTAACAAGATTATTAGAGCACGTTTTTATCTTGATTCGGTCTTAAGGTTTAAAGGAACCATCCACCCCAAAATCTGAAATATCAATTTTTCCTCTGTGCCGGATATCAGTCTACATAGTTTTAATGAGAGTTGCTATTTTCTTTCAGCTAAACAACGCCGAAATGAGTACAAGCCTTTTTTCATGAAAAGGTGATTGATAAAATATTGTTCCAACATGAACTGCTCTCAACAATGTATGTGGATTATCTCAAGTAACTACGTTATGATTTCACCAAAACGCGGATGCCATCTTGTTCCATTATATTGAAAATAATCTCTTTGTCGATATCTCTAACACTCGGAACCTCACATCAAGAATAATGATTGATAAATAGCATTTCAGGTGAGAGAAAGAAAATGTCCCTCTGATTTTGGGCTGAACTGTGCCTTTAAGCGGAAGATAAATGTTTAGTGATCATTAACAATGATGCTAAACTTCAGTCTGCATGTTTGAAATCGTGGATATGACAACAGTTCCCTCATCTTTAATACACCATGAAGGCTGTATGGCAGAAATGTGTTACCTCGAGCACTCGATAGCTTCGGAGTGCGGTGAGACGTCCAGGCGGACTGCTCCCCCCACCCGATGCTGGTGGCAGCAACGATTCGCAGCAGGTAGATGGTGTCGGACTGCAGGTTCTCCAGGAGGTGCTGCGTCTTCTCTCCAGGTAGCTCCAGCTGTGACACCGTGCTCTCAGCACTGGTGCGGTAGGACAAACGGTAGGCGGAGACTCGGCCACGACTCAGCTTGTCTGGAAGCGGCTGCCAAGACACCTGGATGTCCATGGGACTGCGGCTGGTGAGGCTGAGCTCAGGAGCACGGAGGGGAACTGTGGAGCGAAAAGACAGGGACGTTAGGACCAAAAAAAAACTGGAGTCCTCCCTTCTATTCCCCATGTTGTGAATAGCTGTTTCTTCTGAAGGGTTTTCATGGCTAGGAAAAGGCACTCTTGGAGATGAGGTTCAGTGGCGACAGCTTTTACCAAACACACTAGATCACTCTTGAATGAATTGTTATAACCATATACATTCAGAGGCCTCCCCAAGATATACAGTGAGCCCTGAGACAATATAATTATGTACACCAATACAAATGATGTGTCTTATTCAATTTCTTGCAAATCAATGCAGGGCTGTTTCATGGCATTATTCCAATCAGTGGGCCAGAAATGAACCTCAGTTACTCATGGTGGCTACAGTTGGTAATCACATTTCAGAATATGATGCAAGATCATTTTAAGTCATATTTTCACGAGGTTACAAAGGGTCTTGCATGTAAAAAAAGAAATGTTTTACCCTGATTATAACTTGATTTAATCGTCTAACCAGAGCACCTATTTAGGCTGACCTCCAGCTTGCCCTGCCTGCTATGTAAAATCATTTCATAACTTCAGTCATGTAGACAGACACAGGGCAGCCTTTGACCCACAGGTCATGAACAAATGAGGTTTTCATGGAATTCAAAATCACTCACAAGGCATTAGATGTATGCATTGGAGCTTGTGTAAGTAGGCACACACACATACATGTACACACACTGTTCAAATAATGAGTTTATCTCTACATCAATAAGCAAGCTCATTTACAGCACCTACAATATGTTATAAACAAACATCCTCTGAGCTCCCAATGGAATAACATGGTCTCTGTAGATCGATAATGGCCGTTTGTCCTTTATCTGCCCATCACACTCTCTATACATGTCTTACTTCTGATCGGTATTTTAGTGTTTGTGACCTTCACTGAGTGTATGCCTCACCATCCTCGAGTGTGTGCTGGAACACGTTGTCCGACATGCGGCTGGCTCCCATGGGCATGTAGGCCACCACGTAGAAAGTGTAGTTTCGAGCCGGCTCCAGGTCATCAATAATGTAGCGAGTTGTATCGTTTCCAATCACAACTTGATATTCCTCGTTGTTTAGTCCTGGACCAATTATAACATCGTTAAAGGAGACTTATATAAACACAATCAATAGTGCTTCTGATGAGAACTGCTGTTGTTGGTACGGAACAAAATCATAATCATGCAATAACAAAATATCTTATATCAACAGTCATCACTTCCTGGAGCAGTTTTTGAACATTCATTTCTATGTTTACTTGTAGCAGTTTTTATAAATGACCTATTGTGGAATATGTATTTAATTAAAGCAGATTAGAACATTCACACAAAGATGTATTTTCTTCCCAGGGTAAGAAAAGACATGGTCTGATTTCTGACTTTGTAAACAAGGTACTTGCGCAAAAAAAAAAGCCTGTATTCTGGATGCCCCACTAAGCCTCTCAGAAAAGTGTAACAAAGTCTGCCTTCCTGTCCAATTCACTCCCTCTAACGGTCCTCACAGAATACACACTTTTAGACACTCCATCACACAGACTAATTAGTTCCTCCTTTCATAAGAGCCTCCATTTACTGCTGGGTTTTCTGTCACCTCAGGTGCAGAGCGTACTGTCAGATACTCTGTCAATCTCAATGAACAGCCATTCTTTGTGACCGGGACCAAGAAGATTGTGTCACTAAATCTAAATCAAGTGCAGAAAAACTCCGGACGGATGCCAGTAATTCAAGAGTAAAATGGAGGGAATTTGTTCAACTTGTTCTTTTTATGTTGACCTCATTATCCCCAACAGAATCCGGCAGGTGTTCTTTTCTGTACATTTCACCTCCCCAATGGAAGTGAGGGCCATTATAATTAAGTGTAGTGCTTGAATGACCAAGCTGATTTTTTTTTCTCGAATGTTGCATTGTTTGAATGTGACTCTTGTCGTCCACAGCAAGGGTTCCCAGGAAGGCTGAAAGGCTTTAAGGCTTTTCTGCTTCCACAATACAACCCTTGTGCTTTAATGAATAGTTGTGTGTGCATCCTGCATTTTAGCAGCCAAAAGGAAGGGACCCTGCATCTTGAAACTCCACAGGGCCACAGTCCATAAAGGAATGTTCCTGTTTCTCAAGAAAAGCAGTTGTTCGGCTTTATTCTAGAAAAAGATATTTCCTTTTTCTTTCTTTTCCCTCATCCCACCAACATGGTGTTAATAAAAAACCGAAAGGTCCCACTATATATTTTCTAGATAGGAAGTGGCAGAATTGAACTTCCTAAACAGTTTTTCTCTCAGGATTTAAACTGGAGATATTCTGAATTTACACATTTAGTGCAAAAAAAATAATGCTGTACAATAGAGATAATATCCCTATGTGACAAAAAGACATTGCAAATCTAATTCCTGTTGTCTCTTGTTTGTTTGCACACCACTCACCTTCAGCCTTCATGTAGTGCACTGAGTAAGCAATAACTTTATCTGCGTTGAACTGAGGCCTGTCCCACGCCAGAAGGATCGCGGAGCTCGACACGGTGTCAGCTCGGATATTCCTGGGAGCACTGGGCCGGTCTTCAGACATCACCACGATGAGCCTGGCCATGGAGAGGACCGACCCCTGCTCGTTCTCTGCCTGGCACTGATAGATGGCATCGTCCTCAGGGATGATCTGGTTGATGACCAGTTTGCTATGAGACACAGAAACACACAGATTAAGATTATGCACACATGGTCATATCCTGAGGCTTGTTTAGCAGTGTGTTATCATTCTATAATTACCTTTAACAAGCACTGACAGTTGAATAACTATACCATGTTAAATCCTTTTTGCCCTAATGTAAATTATTCAGTTTCCTTTCTACTGTAAGGAAAGTAGTGCATTATTTATTTATATTGTTTTAAACTGAACAACAAAGACTGTTAAATGAGCATTTTATGGTACAGTAAAATTAGTCTGTCTTCCTGTTTTCATTATCTCTTTAAATACAGACGCACACATGTTTAAATATGAATGGGTGTTCTCTTAAATGAAAGGGGGAATCACCTGTTGTACATCTTGAATCGACCGTTAGAGTGAACTTTCTCTCCGTTCTTGAACCAAGTGATTTGAGGCGTTGGAACTCCTTCAGCTTGACACACGAAGCGGGCGGTGCCGGCTCGTGGACGGGTCAGGCTCTCCGGCCACTCAACCAAGGAAGGGGGTGCTTTAGAAAAAGAACATTAATGAAAATATATTTAACATTTTAACCCCACATTTTCAATCAAAAAACATACACAGCCAAACTGCGGTATGTCTTTACCTAACACGGTGATGTTGGCTGAAGAGACTGTGAAGTTTCGCGTGCCAGGAGTGGTGGCTCTGCACATATAGACGCCTCCATGCTGGGGCTTGATGTCGGTGATGATGAGGTTGCCATTTCCCAACACTTTGGTGCTGTAAACGTCAATAGACTTGCTGTCCGCTCGGCTCCAGGAGAGGATGGGTCGGGGATTGCCTGTGGCCATGCACTCCAGGATGGCATTCTGGTGCAGCGACACTGAAATGTTCTGTGGCCCGACGATAATGCGCGGCCTCTGGGGAAGCGAGGGCCTGGGGGCTGTGAGGGGGAGGGGGGGAGCAGGTTTAGTGAATGTGATCTGATGGGATTGGTATCACAGATTCAAGTGGACATGCTCTCTCTGTGCTAACACTTTAGTTAACAAATAAGCCTTTCAACGAACTGTTGACCACAACTGCTTGAGAGGCAGACACTGTTACCTTACTGTCATTTTGAAGTATGAGTTCATATCTGCTAATTTTAAACTTTGTTTATTATTATTTGTAGACTTTATTTTATTACAAGGACTGTGCATGAACAAAATCAAAAAAGAGAAGAACATTAATGCCAGATTTAGCTATAAATGAATTTCCATCTGCAGTCACACTAAAACACCAACATCTTCTTGACAAGGATGTTTCCTGTTTTTCTCAGTTTTATATCATATTCAACTGAAAACAAATGTTTTGGGGTGACAATACAAGACTTTTAAAAACATGACTTTGGGATGGACCTTTTTCACAATTTCCTGACATCTTAAAGACATTAATGTAGACCATCTGACAGACCTGGGGTGACAGTGAGCGAGGCCTCTATGCTTCGGCGGCGGCTGGCGATGTTGGCGGCGATACACCGATAGTTTCCAGCATCTTTCCGCTGCACCCCGTGGATCTGAAGCACACCACTGGGCAGGACGGTGATTCTGGATAGGATTCAGCATTGGAGAAATGACACATCAAACATTCATAAAAACTCATAATGGATGATAATGGTCACAGATTATGTTTCATGTAAATAAAACTCTGCTGTCCAGTAAGGCCTACACCATGAAGTATGAAACTGAAAACAGTGCTTACCTCTCTGTGGCAAGGGGTAACGAGACCCGATTGAACTCCCAAGTGATGATGCAAGGAGGGTGGGCACTGATTTTGCAGGCAAACCTGGCGACTGAGCCTTCAGTCACCGCGATGGACGTCGGCTGGATTGTAAAAGCTGAGATACCTGCAGAAGAACAAAGAGACGACTTTAATGTTTTTTCCTTCATCTTATAGTGTCAGAATGAGATGGCACTGTCTTTCAGTGTGAGGGAAGTAGCGCAGCTTCCTTTATCAAATTCTCTTCAGCTCTCTTCAGGTTGAACATTTACTTTATCGCAATAAAAACCACAAGTGGCCTAGTTTCTAAAAAGACACAAAACTCTTGTACGGTCCAATTCCTCCGTGCAACCACGAGAGTTTTCATGTTTTTATCTTTTAGCCTACGTGGAAGCTTTCCTAGAAAAGGTCAAAGCAAACTATTTTCCCTTGAGGTGTTGTGAAAGCTGGTGTTGTATTTCACTCCATGCGTTTCCCACAAATCATGTTTGACATAAAACTAAAGCACATAACAAATCACCCAAGACCTAGAACATCCAAGAACATCAGTCAAAAGCCCTGCTCAACTGCCCACAATGTTAAGGTTACAGAGACATTCATCAAAGTGTCATCAGGGACAGATTATATTATCCCTATTAATATTTGTATAGCCTACAATTAAACGGTAATATAGTGCTTGTGACCCGCTCTCCAAGATCAACTCAAAGGATGATTAACTTACTATTTATTTCTGATTGAACTCTCCTTGTTTACAAACATATTGATGTGTTTCAGACATCCATCCATCTCAGTCCAATCCACTGGATGTCAGAAAACAGAGAGACGATGACCTAAAGCTACAGACCTGCTGAGGAAGGTGATGACTGGAGTGGAACAGCTACATCCTGCGAGGATAGAGTTTCCCTGAAACTGAGCTGTTGTCAGCCACCAGCTGAGCGGCAAGCAAATGAGGCCCAACATGAATTACAATAAGTCCTTTTATGCTGAACCAGCCAAGAGAAGTGTATGTATTTTATAATGATTGAAGTTGTTTTTAGCCTTTTTTGTTAATGAATGCTCTTTGACAGTGGTTCATCCTGGGCCATAAAAGTCCTGAAAGCCATTAAGGTCACCCACTGCTGTACCGTCCCCCTCTCAGCTCAAAAAACTGCAGAAGTCTGAGGTCAATCATTGGCTAAAATAAATCAATTGCACTGCTGTTTGTGAAATAGAGCAAGTACTGAAATGACCAGAAAACAGTAGGCATCACAGCAAGCTCACATCCTATTCATTATCGTGTATATTATATATAGTCATTCATGGTACAGACTGAGATGGACAAATCAATAGACTGTCAATTATTTTTCCAATGGACCAGAAGAAAAGGCTGTTGAATGTTGTATTCTGCTAAATAACATTATTTGTAATTTCAGTAGGTGCGTTTCAAGATGCTAAACTGCCGGGCTGCTCTCAGCATGAAACTATCCCCATGTTAAGTAATGGATAAATAAACACACTGTGACCTCTGTGAACACTTCTAAAGCTTCTTCTGCTGCAGTGAGACACTTAGCAAAGAAGAAGCAGGAAGAAGCGCATCAAGTTGAAATAGCATCTGACAGATATTCAGTGTGAAAAGACATCCCCAAAAAATTCCAAAATGGTTGTTTTCTGCAACAACGTTTACAAGATGCTGCAAGGCACCCACAATACACATATACATAATGTGGATAACCTTCAATATGTATGCAAGTAAATCATTTCCTAAGTGAACAACTAACCAGGAAACAAACGTGAAACTGGGAAAACAGTGAAACTACAGAATTGTCTGACTTGCTATTTACCAATCATAACTCTTTGTCCTGATTGGATATCCAACATCTGTATTCGTTTATTTTTCAGACATGCAACACTCTCCTGTGGAACCCTCTGCTTTCGAGAAAAGTGTAGAAGGTCCAGTGCCATAAACTCACTGCAGTGTCTGTGAGGGCCATGATGGATGGCTGCGTGTAAGCGGTGTTGCCAGGTGTTGTGGTGCTAAACAGCAGGAGAGCTATGACTGCCATTCAGTGAATTATGACTTTTACACAGCGCCTTGGCTTCAAATCCAGCTGAGTCTTGTGGAGGAAAGAGAAATTCATTTTGTGAACGGAGAAAGTTTCAGTTGCTGGGATAAAGTTATGAAGACTCACATTTTCAAATGTAAAGGTTATTTAGTTGTAGAGCTCTATTTTATGGTGGCTTTAGAGTTGTCGTAAAGGACTGCCAAACTGCCGTCAGGACACATTTAATCAAATTAGTCCTGAGCTGCTGCCCCTATTAGCTCCACTCTGGTTGTATGATGTGAGGACAGAAGCAGGGAGAGGCATTCAAACCCCCCTCCATCACACCCTCACACTGTCCCACCCCCAGAGTTAACGCAGGCTCAAAAATGCCATTAATGTGCTGAAGTGATATGACTGCAGGGCATGAGAGATGAGCTGCAGTGATCCTCTGCCTCCCTGCTGGATTGACAAGCTGCGGGATGATTATTGATTATTGATAAACTACTAAGACAGGGAGGGAAATCTATAACGGCTAGGGATGGTCAAGCATTGATAAGAGCACTATACTGATATGGGAGGGTGACCTGCTTTGAACGATGATGTTAGCCGTGGGGCATCTAATGTGAAGATGAGAAAAAGAACATGTCATTTACTTTAAATATGTGTGATAATAAAGACTACTATTATGTTTTCCACTTTCATGTGTGTGCCTATGTTCTTTTATTCCACCAAATAATACAACATTTCCCTTTTGTGTGCCATACATAGATTTAACCAACAAGACTAGAAGAATAAATTCCTCAGCCTAAAAGCATGAAGAAACAGTTCTGGCTTCCCAGCAATCTCACCTCTCACCTTTGACCTCCACAAATCCTGGCTAGCACCAAACACACAACCCAACATGACCACCCCAAAGCTCTCCTGCTCACTGCTAGCCGCCTATAAATCTCTGAGTTCCTCCTCCAGCTGCAACGTTTGAAATGCTGTTTTGTAATGATATCCTTTTCTGCTGTATCGATGACATGTCCCAGTTTAGCAACTACAACAAATAAAACTATATATGTGGGCCAGTTGTTGCATGTTGAATAACAGTGATTAAACTAACTGCATGCTTGATGTAAAGTGACAGCGATGTCCTTAGGTCTGAATTCAAAGCTAAAGATGTACAAACATGAGTCTGTCAACAACTCTTCTCTGTTAACTACAGAACGTTTCAACACAGTCCAAATCTGAAGAGTAAACATATATTTGCTTCATTTCTGCCTGCAACAGATGGGTCTGCTGATGGCAGCAGCTCAACAAACTGAAGGTCAGTGGACAGGTCAGGCCCAAACAAAGGTTCCCTTACAAATACCAGGAATGAGTTCAGCCCTCTCTCTCCTCTGGTTACTGTGGTCGGTTCCTAAGTCAGGCCTCAGCACCATTATAGTCTACCTGCATATGAGTGGATTTCTCTGTGATTTTGTGCTGAAAATCATATGAATCCTTTAATTACTAATCTTGAAAGTCAATGTATCTCTTCATTTAAACCAAAAATATATTTTTTGATTTCCACGACACACAAGCATATGGGACAACAAGCTTGTGTTTTGGTCTATGCTGCTGTCATTCTTTTTATTTTTATGTATGGAGGATATGTTTGCACCATAATACCAAGACAAATTCCTCGTATGTTACTTGGCAGTAAACTTGTTTCTGATTCTTATTCTAAATAATAGAGTGCATTGAAACGTGGCAATTCAATATAAACAATATGCACTTTATATTTCCTATGGGTCTTATGAAGGTAAGGAACACACTTTGTATCAAATAAATCCTGACACTGAAGTGCAAAGAAAATATATCATAATGAAATTGTCAAACAAGGAAAAAAAGCTGTTTTGTAAAATCAGCGGAAAAAACAAGAAATTATTATTAGTTTTTCACTTAAAAGAAACAACCTGAGAAAGTCCAAAATAAATATTCAAAGAATAAGTCATGTTGTTTAATAATCCAAACAATTGTTGTCATCAAGAGTCAAAGAGAGTATGTTTAATTCAATGTGGTTTTCCATGTCCTGATACATGATGACAGAAGCCGCTTCAGTGTTGCTATGCTCAGTTATGTAGATGCTGTGATGGCCCCTGGCCGTCCCCAACCTAACCCCTCCCCCCCCTTAGAGTCCAATCTTTTAGGAGAGACATTCAAATGTATCATCTTCTCATGATCCTGCAGGGCGCCTGCTAGATTGATAGCTTTAAGCATCAGGAAGCCCTGAAAAAAGCTCCATTGAATCACTAAGGTTTGAGAGTCTTCCTATTGGTCCTATGGAGTGCACCACATGGTTACACCAAAATAAGTTCAATCTTCATTTACTCCTCCCACACCTTTACTGAAAAAACCTCCATCTAATTGAGTGATGAGCCTTTTAAAGTGTTCCATGACCCCCGCTGAAGATTAATAAAAGGATCGGGGGAAAAAGGAGGCTGATAAGCAAGAAGGAGAAGAATGCAAAGCTGAAAAAAGCCAACAAATCAATCACTGACTGGCTGGCAGATGTGCTGCTGCTACACAGGCTGCAGGACAGTCAAGTGACCACTGGCCTGGCCAAACAAAGAGCTATTCCCATGAGCAGCGTGACCTCTGAAAGCACCGGGCGGGCGGTGGGGGAGCGGTGTTGGGAAGGAGCATTCATCCCCCTCCTCCAACCCCTTATCTCTGCTACAAAGTTTTCCAATCATTCAACAGCAACCCTCCACTCACCGCAAACAGTGGCTGCATTGTCTTTAATCTCCGTATCATAACAGGGAACTGAAGAAGTCAATCTTTGAAAAGTCTTTTTTTAACCGCACTAATATACTTTTCCATGGCAGCAACAAAAAGTTTAGGAAAATAAAAGTTGGTTATAACATGATAGATCAGAGAGAGAGAAAAGTAAACCCACTGACTATGGCACTAATGACCATTGCAGCAACTGATAAAACTAGATGAGCATCCCACATTATTGTAGGAAAGATTTAAGTCCTGTGCTCTGTCGCACGGCCCTCCATCTATTGAACAATTTAAAGAAACCTTTGACCCCTGGGCCTGCGGTTCAGGGGAACCATGGTAACCTTTCGTGTCCAGCAGAGGAGAAAAACAAGATTCCAGGCAGAGAGTTGTCTCACTTCAGGCCATTTCATCCATTCATACCACAGCTAACACTTGCAAGGTTTACTTTCGTCTTATGGGGGTTTCTAATTGGACCGAGCCAGTGCTTGTCAGAAACATTCCTTAGCAACTAGAAATAATGCTGTGGTCCTGGCCTGGCTTCCTATGGACACATCATTGAGTTAAAACAAACTTTGTACATTAGCAGCTGTAGCTTCTTTAAAAAACTCCAAAGCTTAATCCATTTAAAGGCAATAGCACTTGTTCTGCTGGAGATAGAAAGTTGAATCAGCTCAACCCTGAAACAGATACCTCTGGATGACAGTTTCAAATTACGTGGTCACCACAAAATAAATGTTTGATTAGGTTACTTTTTATTCATCAAGCACAACAAAGGCACCAACAAAGGACTCATATTAAAAACAACAGCTAGATCTGTTTCCAGGCACCTTGGCCCAGTTTACTTAAGATATTCCACCTTGTGAGCAGTTAGGGTTCATTTGGGGTATTTTTCTTCCTAATAGCCAATACCCGCCCCTGATTAAGCATGAGCCTCTCATACTAGTAGTAGCTTACTTTTGTATGGTGATGGTGGTTAACAAGTTTTGCAAATTAATTTATTTGGGGCTTTTGGCACTATAAGCAAAGTGTTATCTATTTCCATTATATTTGAGAGAAAGCAGAGGCAGGGATTTGCTTTTTAAATGTTGGGTTGAACTGTCTTTTTTTGCCTACCATTATGTTATGTTTGCAACAAATGCATAAGGCCCTTTCTGAGGGTAATGACAAGTTACAATCAGTATAGTTTTCCTAAATAAATGGACTCAATCAGTGAGAACGTAACACAGGTGTTATTTAAGCCATCCTTCAACACAGGCCCAAGCCTACTTTCTACAAGGTTACCCAGACGCCCTCAATTTCATCTGTTCCAGGAATTGGTCCCAAGACTTTACCGCATCAATAATGCCAGAGTACAACAGAGCATTACCATCACAGA